ATGACTGACTACACTGCTGAGCTGGTGCATGCTTCTGGAACAACGGAGAGCAATGGCAGGCCTCCATACTATAGAAAAGTTTGCAGCATAATCAACACCCTCCCCTACCCTCTGGATGGCTACTCTGTAGGCTTTATGTTCCCATAGACTCATAAAGGACATAAAATGATATGTGATGATGATGAACTTAAAATACTCAGGTAGCCAAGATGCAAAACATTTATTTTAATTGCAAGGTCTGGTAAGACTCTAGAGTTGAAGCCTTTTAAATCAAAATCAAACAATCAACATTGATTGTATGTGGGTTCAATTAGAATGAAATTGCCATTGTTGGTGTTGCCCACTGACAGCACTTGGTTTTGTTTTCAGCACTACCTTTGAAAAACCACCTAAATCTTTTCTAAGCCTGCCTCCAGCTCTTTCTGGACAGGCTCCTGTATTCCAACACACACAGCAAACGAGTGCCTCACATTGTAAACTAAATCCTAAATGCTGTGTTTTAAAAACTAAATTAACTTCTCCTATCCCTGTCAAATGGGAGGAGGCCAGATAAGACCTGATAGAAACTTTTAGGGTTTGCCTTGGTAAGGATTTAACTGGATGCTAGTTTGCGCTCTGAGTGGTGAAAAGTGACCTGAGAAAGAAGGTAGGCAAAAATTTACTGGCTAATGAAGTACACTCTAACTAATGATATGATGGTAAAGCATAACTAGCTCAGCTAGTCCTTTCCCTCTGAGTAACTCATAGCACATTACAAGTATTCAGGTACCATCTTTGTTAGGAAGTCAAATATTATTGCCAAAGCTTGTCTCAGGAGTTTGGGGGAGACTGTTGTGATAGTCTCACCCCCCACCCCAACAGAACAGTCTCAGCAGCTTCTGGTTCCATGAGCTCCAAATGCCTTGGTGACAAATGCTGGCTTGTTAGAAAGCAACAAATTTAAAAGCTCCCTGTTCGTCTTCAAGGTATGATTGTGCAAATACTAAAGGGTCCCATGACCTGGGACCTTGTGGATCCAAAAGCTAAATACTTGCTCTAATTAAAAGAGGCAAACTGATATAGTCAGATAAATCCTAGATTTGGAAAAACAATCAACAGTTCTTGTCCAACAAAAACTATAGCAGTGGGTAAACACCACTTGAACTACAGTGGTAAATAGTTTATGCTTTTTAAGGATGCATTAAAGATGATGAACTAATTGAAGATGTTATGGGGTGGGATTGTTTTACAGGTTCTTTGTTTTCTAAGTGAGAAATTAGAAGCTAATTCCTAATCTAGTCTAGGCCTATTTAGCACTGGGGTAGGGAGGGTCAAATATTTGAACTCCCCAAGTGCAGCAGCATTTTGGGAAAAGCATCTTCATGACACCACCTATAACAATTTCTTTAAAAAAATCATGCAGTTGTGGCTGGGCTTTTAACTGGATTTGTTAAGAAAAGTTTGAAGAGGTAAGGTTCTTCCACAGATTGTGTGCATGCTAGGTTCAAACTGTATAATACTATTTAGAGATCAAAGGCAAGAAATTTTGGAAGAAACCAGTTACAGGTGCATCAGGCTGGATTTTTCTCACTTAAGAGAAAAAAGAACAGCTGCAAGTCAGCATTGTGCTGACTGTAGGCACTACTCCCCAAAGTGTGGGACCCCCCTTACCATGGGTGAGTTATTTAGAGAGCTTACATAGGTTTCTGAATTAAAGATTTGAAAGAATAAGTTTCACTTGTCTTAATCTTTTTTTCTCTCTCTCTTCCTTGTGATCAGACCTGCTGTCAATTTAATCCATTTAAAGCTGCTGAAGTGAGAAACTTCAGCCCACTGCACCTGTCGCAGGCTCTATTTTTACACCCTGTCCTTCTGAGCCCACTCTCATTGGCAGGTGACTTTATTTATCACTTTTCTTTCCTGTTTGCTAGTAGAAAAGACTGGTTTCTAGAAAGTCTGAGGATTCTATAGTTTTTTTTTAGGAAGGAAGAAGCTTCCTTCCATAGCTCTTATCCTTTCATACATTTGACTTGTATGACTGCAATTTCTGTCATATAGACTGCAAGTGAATAAAAAGTTACATACCCCACAAATGCTTCACTTGTAACTCCAGCTGCAACAATATAGGGTCTTTTTCATGTCTCAGCCTCTGGGAATGCTGTGTTTGTTTTGAAGCTTCAAACATACTTGGATAGGATAAATGAGAAGAGTCTGCTTCCCCTTCAACACTCATTGCAATGGGGATAGCAGGCTAGAAATCATCTTTGAAAACTGGGAGCTCTTTTGACTAGAGACCTGCCTTGGTACACTGAGCATTTGTGGATTATCAATCATGATCTAATACTTGATCAACAGGGCTTAGTCTAATCCTGGAAATCAATTCCATGAGTGTCTGACTGGCAGCAGACACAGTTCAGTTCTGTTGAGAGGCAGGATAGGACAGTTTGCAGAGAGATTGCTATACTTCTGCATAGGGGAACAGTGCCCTAGAGGGCTGCCAACTGGGGTAACTTTTTAATGCTTACCATGGTGCTTTTGGTTTTATCAAGGTCTTGGTAGTCCAGTAGAGCCTTCTTAACTAACATGCCCCAATGCATAATTCAATTCAGTTGCTTTCCCTTTTTTTTGAGAATGAAAGACAGGTGATCTACTGAGTAAGGTGCTGAACTTGGACTCAGGGTACATTAATTCAGCTACAGTTTGTTATGATTAAGGTGTATCTATGCCTCAGTTTTGCATCTGAAATAAGAGACTATATTTTATTAATACCTGTTAGGTGCTTGGATATTGTTGGAGGGAAGGATTTGTCTACTGTCTAAATAAGTAATAGTAGTACTGATTTTACAAGAATGTAAAATATCTTGTACCTCACAACACCATTGATAGAACAGTGAAATTAAGTATCTGTTTTATAGTAATCTTGAGCAGCTGTTATTTTGACTGACAGGGCTTAGAAACTCAGATCTCTTTCTACCAGTGCCATTTCATCTTAAACCTTTGGCATGCCTTCAGGGCAATCCTATTAAACAGAATTTAGGGTAATTCCATTCTGAATTAGCAGACTGTGTTGTCATTTACTGTATTAGGCTAAAACAGTTAAGATATCCTGTTAAAGTATCTGTTCCTGTTTAAATGGAGCATATTGTATTTATTATGTATGCAGTAATTAGAGTCACAGCTAAGCCAGGGCTTAAACACACAAAACATGCATTTTCCAATTATACACTGATTTCGGAGAAAGAGTCAGAGCAGAGGAATGAGATTTAAGCGCTGTTTAATTCTAACACCAATTCTGCTGCTCAGGCTTGCAAGGGTGAGGTGCTTTGTAGCCTGCACAAAAGTGGATCTTTGGACTGCTGCTCTTGATCCTCCGGATCATGATGTATGTGGAAGCAGTCTATGCAACGATCATACAAAGACCTCCAGTGCATACACCTAGGCAAGAGTATGGAGGAATGGAAGCTGCCCAAGGCCTATCATCCTCCCTTTAGCCCATCAAGATAGATTCCAAAGGTGAGATTGAGTCCAGACATTTGATGGTTATAGCTTTGCCAGAGAGCGATAGATTACAGCTTCTGCTGACTGCTTAATACCTGAAGGAGGGTGTTTCCATCAGGATGATATCCTTTCGCCTTTCTCCAACCAAGGAGTACCCACGGGGCATGAGGGCTAGAGTATTTTATAGGAGCTACTCTGCCACAAGTACCCTCACCATGTTGCAACTAAGTCTTCCAGTCGGATGTAGTTTAGGCATTATATGCATTTTACAGCAGCTGTTTGGGGTTTTGAGGATTATGTTTTTGACTGGACTTTGGTACCTCAGCCAAAGTTCTAGATCATCTGGTAGGTCTAGCCCTTAGCCTCTCTGCCTCTGATTGCCTATAGTTAGAATGGGAATAAGAGTTGTCCACGTCACAGGATCCTGGAGTTTTGACGAAGGGAACTTGTCCTCCATTAGATTTTGTGCATAGAAATACATTGTGTGAAGTGAGGGAAGTGGTGCTGGCTCCTACCCTGGGGGTCTTTAAGAAAAGGCTTGATGCCTACCTGGCTGGACTCATTTGAGTCCAGTTTTTCTCTTGCCCAGGCAGGGGGTTGGGCTTGAAGATCTACAAGGTCCCTTCCAACCCTACTTCTATGATTCTATGAACTGAGGTGGAGAAAGGTAACTTGCCACATGTCAGGCACAAGTCTATGGTAGGCTGGCATAAATCCCAGACCATTCTTTCTAGCATCACGTCATAGACATGTTCCAAACACCAGGGGCTGAAATGAGAAATTGCATATCAAGCACTCTGATGTTGCTAACCTGTTACTTAACTGGGGTGGGGTGACTGAGGCAGGAGCCCCAAGTATCCCTTTTTAGGAGGTGGGGTACAATGCTACCTGCTGCTGCAACTAACAGCCAGGCACACAGCTGCCACTAGCACCATGGCAGTTAGTACTACCTTATGCAGAGCTGCTGCCCTGTTACATCAGTATTGCTAACCCTAGGACAGCTGCAGGGATGTTAGCAATGTGTAATGTTATCTAAAATTTCCCAGAAATTAGCACTTCTGAATCTTTCCATGTCACGTCTGGCATTTTCTCACTGTCTTTTAAAGAAGTAAGTGCTGTTGCCTGGAGACATTACTTAAACTCCTTATATATAGTGACTTTCAAGTTTTTTTAGGTACTGCCGTTGGGCCTCAGCATTTATCTGTCTGAAGGATGCACTCCCTCTAATACAGTAAGAAGCAAGGTTACTGAAAGTAGGGATAAGGTCTTAGTAGCTCTCCCTTATCATGTGCACTGAAGAACTAAGACTACTCTGTATCCAAATCAACTTCCTTTTAAAACAACCAACAACAACAGCATTGATAGGAAATCTGCTGTAAGTAATTGCACTTAGGGTATTATATAGCTGTTGTTATGCTCCTTGGTCACTTTGACTGAAGTAATTCCATCAGGTTGTCTCCAGAAGTTGAATAGAGAAGACTGATTAACTAATGGTGGTCATCATGTCTCCAAATCTCTTTGAGCAGAGAAAAGTAGTTAGCTGTTGTTCTGGGTATTGTGCCATTCACTCTCTCTTCATCCTACAAGCAATAGTGTCTGAGCAGGGCAGATGGCACTAGAATTTTAAATTATGTATCTTTTTTTCTAATGTTGCCAATAGTTTTTATTGGCTTTATACACAGAGAATAGAGCAACTTTTAAATTAAGGAAGATTGGTAGTTGCCCTTTAGAGTTCACAATCTAAATTACTGGATACTCATGAAATTAAGCACCTTGAAATAAACAGATTCTAAAAGATCTTTTCTTGCAAATGATAGTACTAATTGTGTGATGGATGTGATGAGAATAATATAAATTCAGCTAAATCTCATCATTCTTGATGGAGAGCCTACCTCTTTAGGAAACAAAGGCACCCCAAAAGAGTAGCATCATCATTCTTCAATGGCACAATTTACTTTGGCTGATTCTACTTTCTTTTCTCTTCTTTTTCTTGGGCTTGTTGTAAGTTGCTGCATTGATGATAGTCCCTGAGGTGTAGTTAAATGACACTTGAGTGATGATTGTCATCCAACACCTCCTGCCACACTATTGTAAAAGGGATCTCCTGCAACCGCTCTGTTTGAATGTGGTGTTAATGGAGGAGTTGGTGGTAGATTGATTTGTTTTCGCCCGTTTCTGATGGAATAAATATGCAGCTAACTTGACAACAATTTTAGTCTGAAGTAGGATCATTTGGCTGGAAAGAATCTAAGGGGTCACATATCCTAACCCCTGCATGCTAAATTGTTCCAGGTGAGTCTAGTGAAAAGGAACAAGATACCTGGGCATCTTGTTCCATTGTCCTGATGGGAAAGGCAAATTTGTTGTCTTTTCTGAGCTTTAATCTATATCTACTTTCCCACAGATCATGCCCTTTATTTTTGTTCTGCCTCCCATAGCAAGAAGAACAATTGCTCTACATCTTCTATATTACAGTCTTTTAACTATTTGAAAACTGTCATCATGTCACTCCCTTAATCTACTTTTCTACAACTAAATATACCTTGGTTTTTTAACCTTTCTGCATACAGCCTTACCTTTCAACCCCTTTATCATTGTTGTTACTTGCCTCTGTATTCTCTCCACTTTCTCTGCATCAAGCCCAGTATTGTACACAATACTCCAGCTGAGGCCTAGCCATGGTAGTGAAGAGTGATACTTTCACAACCCATGTCTTTAATACAGCCCTTTTCCTAATGCAGACCAAAATTGCATTTGTGGGGTTTTGTGTGTGTGTGTAGAACTATATCACTTTCTTGATTTGTTTTGACTCTGTAACCCACCATGACCTACGATCCTTTTTGGCAGCACTGCATCCACACGGCATTTATACATTTGGATATTCTTCCCCAGGTGCAGCACTTTAGCATTTCTCTTTATTGAATTTCATATTGTTGTCTTTTAAACCAGTTGTCCAATTTAGCCAGACAAAGTCTACTTTTGAATTTTACTTCTGTCCCTCAAAGTGTTTGCAGCCTTTCGCAGTTTTGTCATCTGCAAAGCTGTCAGGGAATGCTCCCTGCTGTGAAGTCACTGATAAAAATGTTAAACAATACTGGACCCAGTATATAGATTCACTTGAAACCTCCTGCCATTCTGACATAGATCCATATATACAGTTACTCTGTTTGTGGCCGCTCAAACTATTTTATATCCCCCCTAACAATAATTTTATCTAGCCTATACCTTTTTCAGTTTACTAATGAAGATGTCATATAGGACTGTAGCAAAAACCAAGTGTATTGTGTCCACTGCTTTCCCTTTATCTACTGTACTAGTAATGCTATCAAATGCTATCAGGTTGGTTTGTTGGCATTATTTGGTCTTAAAATTTCAAATTAGCTGCCAGTGACACCCTTTTCTTTCCCTGGGTGTTTTCAAATGATTCTTTACGCATGTGCTTGAGGAATTATCCAGCTATTGAAATGAGGCTGATTGTACTGTAATTTCCAAGGTCTTCCTTTTATTCTCTTTTTAAAAATGGGCACATAAGTTAGCCCTGCAGTCCTATGGGACCTTGCCTGTTATCCATGAGTGCAAATATTTTTGCCAGGGCCCCTGAATAATCTGCAGATGTAATACTCCTCCAAGATATTACTCTTCTTTCTTATTTTGGCACAGAAAGTGAGGAATAATTTCCACTGCCCTATTTTATTTAGGCATGTATACATTGCTGGTTTGGTGACTCACTATATAACACTGAAATAAATATTTGTGAATGTGGTAGTTTATTGTGTAGGCTATTTCTCCTAAGTACAGCTCATCTCTATGACTCTTAAGACTTAGACTACCTCAGTACCTTTAAGATATCTTAAAATAATCTGGGTAACATTTTGATTCCATGTATTTCCTGACTATCAATTTGTTCCTTTCAATATAACAAAAAACAACTCTGATGTAGAACACACATGCTGGTAAATTATGTATATTATGTATTTTTAATGATAAATTGTAAAATGTACAAATACAAAGATATTGAAAAAGGAAGCAAGCAAGTGATAAATACAACTCTTATGCTCCTAAATCAGTCAAGAACTAGGTGCAGACTTAAAATTCCATATATACTATACAAATGTTCTTAAAAGCAATAAAGCATGCCTGTGTGCTCAGATCTTAAATAAACTGATCAAATTTGACTGATTTAGGAGCATAAGAGTAGATCCTGCAAAGAGCCACCTAGAAAAAAAATTCCCTCTCTCTCTCCCCTCCAAATACTTATTCTAAAAAGGAAGCAGCATGGATAATGAGGTAAAAAAAGAAGTGGGGATAGGGTTGAAATTACATTTTAACTCTTGGAGTGTGGGTCTGCAAAAAGGGGCTGCTCATCATGATGCCCTAATAAAATTAGAGATGCCCCTCCAGGTTATGATTTTCAAATCTTACAGGCTGAAATCTCGTCTCTTATGGCGGGGCTCAGCCCCCTTGAGCTCAAGGGGGCTGAGATTGAAATTACATTTTAACTCTTGGAGTGTGGGTCTGCAAAAAGGGGCTGCTCATCGTGATGCACCACAAAGATTAAAACTATGAGCATCTTAATAATTCAGTTTTCACTATCCCACAGAAAGTGGCCATTCAAATACATGGTGACAGCAAGGATCAAGCCTCCTAGTCTATTGACCATTTTAACTCAGTGATGCTCAACCTTTTGGTGCCACATGCCAGATGAGTGGCACAGGGCCAGTTTGAAGGCCAGATCCAGGTCCCACACACTGGGATCAGGCCCATGAGGCTTCTCTAGGCCTGTGCCACTGGATCAGGGCTCTGCACTTCCTCTGTTTGGCCCCCATATTCCTGAATCAGGCCCAAGCCACCTCTGTGCTCTGATTTAGTGTGCTATCAGTCTAGTGGGACTCCTTACAGATTTGGAAATATGGAAACAGGGGAGTGGCAATTTCTGCCACTGTTCCCCCGCCATTTGATTTTCAAACCCATGGGGACCTTTGGGGACCAGACGGTATGACTCACTCCATGGGCCAGATATGTCCTGCGGACCTGGGGTTGGTTTAGCTTGATCAAGTTTTAACTTGATTCAGGCCAGAAGCCCAAACCAGCTCACATTTACAATTCCAGCCAGTGGAGGGTAGTAGCATATGAAGATTATAACAGTATTAATCAGTTTGCCAGTTGCCGCACTTTGAGCATGCTTTCGTAATATTATGTGTTAGTGTTCTCTGGTTTATGGTGTGTCCACATGTCTAAGTTCAGGTTTGTGCCTTCTATATCAGTGCTTCTTTCTCCTCTTCTTTTCTGCTCCCCTCTTGTCACTCCCAAGCCCTCTATTTTCATAGATTTCATAGACATTAGGGCTAAAAGGGACCT